TCCTGTGATGGGTAGATATTTATGCAGGCATTTAGGCTGCCAAATGACACTACAGCCTCATCATTTCATATATGTTTGTATCAAAGCCACAAATCATGTACTTTGTCCCATGGTGGGTAGATATTTTTGCAGCCATTTAGGTTGCCAAATTGCCCTATAGCCTCATCACTTAGCCACAAAACAGGACTTCTGTCTATATATGGCAACATATGCATTAGTTGCCCACACAATGGCACATGCCACAATATTTACACACAGCCTAGGAGTTTAGGCCTTCTGGCATCTTTTCCAGCTAGTTCTGGATTAAAGATGTATAATTATGAAATTCATTATACAACTGTTTGTTAACTTGTTGGATCCAGTTGCATCATGGAAATCATGGTGCTGAAAACAGAGGCAATGGGTTATGTAGGTATCCAACATCCCAGGCGCGCAACACATAGGCCGGGCACACACGAACACACATGAGCGTTGACAAGACTCTATGCCTTCCTTTTGCAAAGTTATTTTGTGTAAACTTTTTAGCTCTATTGCCAGTTTCCAATGTCCAGATTTGTCTTTTGATTTGCTTTATCCAGATGGTAATAGCTTATTTTCCAGACTCCATATCCTCTCTCTATGTAGTAAATATCACAAAATTGTTATTTGCATCATATATCTCATTTTTTTGCATTTTTCAATTTTACGTAATATAACCTGCGCTGCTGGTCACAGCAACCAGGAATATAGTGCGCAGCATGGAAATGGAGTCCTCCCTGGTGCCGGCACTCTTCCAGTCACTGCATGTTACATTCCACATTTGTTTATCAATGGGAATAATGCTAAAGCCCCTTCTAATTATGAAATGACCAATGAGTCAAATCACACTCTAAGAGGTTTAAACACTCATGGTGAGTCATTTCTATCACCCTGGCCTTCGCTCATGACAGCAAGTTAGCATCATCCGGGCCTCAGTCAATTTGCCCTATGATGGCATGTCCATGTCACCCACCTCTTTTTTCATGCATGACCCATCATCATCCGGGTCCAATGGGTTAATATTTAAAAAATAATAAGTTACAAACATGTAAATGCATAATATCCAAGTAACCTATGATCAAGTATTCAGAGTAATAATTCATTACAGATATCAAAAGTTAACCTGAACATCAGATTTTGAAGTCCAATTGGCTGAAGATCAAATGGAAAATCATCTCTTATAGTGAATTTTAGCTCTGCCTTTAGTTGTTTTGACTTCTTTTTCAGGTCCTCAGTTCTTCCAGAGGACCTCATGTCCAAGAATGCCATGAACATCTCATTTGAAATATTTAATAATACTATACCACTCTAAAGATGACAATTCTAAATAATTTTCAATATACATAATTTTGTGCCAACTGCAACAGCACCTTGCTCCTATGGTTGCCAGCCCTTTGCGATTCACTGCTGTGAGCACTGACAAATATACTTTTCTGATCCTGCCATGAAATGAACCCAATAAGTCATAAGTTTGAAACACTTTTTTTCCTTTTTTCTGTTAAGTATAAAAATTCACTGACAATCAAGATATGGCAAAGTTAGAACTATAGAAATCGCAAATGCACTTGTAAAAAAATGACTTGAAATACACACGAGGAGAATGCTTTGCCATATTTTACATGAAGTATACAGAAACTGAAAATGCAGTACACATATCACTCAATAACAATCTTGCAATTACAAGGAACAAGTGCAAATACTACAGTTGAGAAAATTTAAAGCAGCATATCTTTTAAATGGACATGAAAATCCAATAGTACTCAGACAATATAAGAGACCCATACAATGCCTGATCAACCAATCCCTTACTATCCCCAACTATTACAAAATCAGCAGTGCAGTTGTGTGGCCTGGGAATAGTTGTGCAGTTGTGTGGCCTAGGAACTCTGGATTTTAATGCCATAACTGAGAGTCAAAGTATTCCCCACTATCTTTACATGACCTTACATTGACAAGATGCAAACATCTTACCAATAAGATCTTGTAGCAGCCATGACTTACAGCCTGAACAACTCGGCTCAACATACTTCCCAAGTTGGGTCATGCCAGAACCAATAAACTTGTCCTTGATCTCTCACCAGCAGGCACTTCTCGTGACTCACTAGCGAGACCTGACTGGTAGACAACAGATACTTCGCAGCTCTCTGATTGAACCGAAGGCTCCCCATGTTCCTTGTTCACTGACACAGCTCCCAACTACTTAAGTAGTCGGGGGCTGTGGCTGTCAACAGGGAACAAAGCTCTTGGAGTTTTAGGATCCAGAACCGAGATCATCAAGAGATCACACTCCAGATGCATTTCAGTTGAGCAGCACCAACATAAGGACAACCATCTCTTTTGCTGACTAGAAAGCCTTCCTAGCTCTCCCGTAGAACACCAAATCACCAGCAACACCCAGCCATAAACAGTGTGAACTCACACCTACTCAATCACTTTCTAAAGAGACAATGACCAGTTCAATTAGTAGATACTATCCTATCAACCACACTGGAGAACCCAGAGTGAAATGTTTAGTATTTTGCTCGCTGGCTTAGCTCACTCACTCAATATAGAAATTCATTAACCTCAACTTGAACTTGAACTTCAAAAAACGTGCAGAAGGCAGCAATCAGCTCATTACAAGGAACCTGATGTTTCTAATAAACACCAAATATCCAATCTAGAGACTTCCACACAAAAAGGTATCTTGGCTGTTGCCATGCAACTGAGACCATTACATTATACTCCAGAGACACTTTAGGTACACAGTTTCATTGTCTCTGGACTGTTTAATAACTGATGCAACATGATTTTTAGATAGTATGACTAAACTGCCATATGACTGTCCTCAGTATTCAGTGGGAGCTAAGATAGAATTGTGACTCGAGAGCAACTCTGAGTCACTCAACAATCACATGCCTTTTGTTGTACAAAATATCTTGATATATATGTGGACCAGCAACAGTACTGAATGATTATTAAGAGACAGCTACAAGTCAGTCCTGAATCCATGTTGAGTACCTTTTTATCTTTATATGTACAAGGCTTTAAGGGTAAGCTGAAACATGTACAGTCATTAACCCATTTACTCCAGTGCCTCAAAAATCTCAGGTTTCAGAATGGATATAGAGAGAGAGAGTAAATGGTCCAATGCCTCAATAGTTGCAAACAGATTTTCATTTTCTTAAAGGAACACAAAATAGCAAATGCCTCTGTACCACCAAGAGAATAATAGTGGCATCACTATATTAAAAAAGTTAAAGCTTCTTGCTAATCATTCATTCCTATCCTTAAGGGGGCCGTCATGATGAATTTTTGGCGAATATTTTTTAAAATACTCAAAATTTTGAAAAAATCTCCTGTAATCTAGTAGGCTTTCACAATCCCATGACATTATATTTCTCCTAAATATGTAAAAATAAAGGAGTTATGACTAAATCCCTGACTCCCCCTGCCTCCAGCTCCGATGCTTAGTTTGTCGGGTCTGTGCAAATATACTTGACAAATTTGTTTTTTTTTGTATTTTTTTCAATTTATTTTGGTATTCTTTGGTAGCTAACTGGCAATTCTGCTTACGGCACAGCTGACAGCCATGACTAAGAAACAGGTGGGTAGTCACCAAGAGAAAGCCAGAGTGAAAGGCTGCACATCCCATGCCTCGGCGCAACACCATTCCTTAGACCTACCCTGAAGCGCCATCGTAACACACTAATAGGACACTACTAATGATAGATGTTATTCCTGTTACTAATCAACATAATATGAGGAGAAGTACATCTCAATCACACTTGCAGCAGTTGTTTATTCTTATGAAATGCTTCACAAGGCTATGCCAAGCCTGTGATGAAACGCGGTACTTCTACAATCATGTGCAGTTATTGCCAATAGTTCCTTGCAAATGGGGGGGGGACCAGGTACCAGTTACACTTCAGAATACCATGTGAATGTCATAGAATGCTGATAGCGAAGACTAAGAGACAAAGTGGGCTGTCACCATAAGAGAGCCAAAGTGGCGCAACACCATCTTATAGTCGTGCCAATACATAGTGCGCGATGCGCCCTCATCACACACTAAGAGGACATTATATGATGAGAAATACATCTTAATCACAGCTGCAGCAGCTGTTTATTTGTATAATATGCCTCAAGAGGCACTGTAAAGCCAGTGATGGCACGCGGTACTTCTACAATCATGTGCAGTTATTGGCATTAACACCTTGCAAAACAGGGGGGAACTAGGTACCAGCTACACTTCAGAATACCATGTGAATGCCATAGAATGCATCAAGATTGATGCAGAGATCAGAATTCTAAAAGAAGAAGAAGACGAATGCAGGGAAAAGTATCCTCAACTTCAAAGCCCGATATCTTAAAACTACACCTTTGGCAATATTTTTTGTTGTTTCTTCATAACTACTTGGGCGATTCTAATGCGGTTTGGATCATTTGAAAGGTGAATAAATTTGTGATTTAAGAGACGATTCATTTTTCATTTCAGGTGGTAAAAGTCCATATATAATATTTTACATTCATAAAAGTGATAAAAAAAAAAAAAAAAATTAAAAATTACACTAAACTAAGACGATTTCAAAATCGAATCGAGTCTAATATAAGTATTGCTATAGTATATGTGGTATTTTTTTTAACAGACTCCGGGGCAGCCCTGCCCGCCGATTTTGTAGCCACCCGGAATCTTTACTTTCAGCTTCAGAATATACCGGCGTTAATGGGTAAAGAAAGACATAAAAAATAGTTGACTTGATATATAGTTAAGGGGGCCGTTGCACTCGAGAATGAAGTTCATTAATTATGATTGGATTTTTGTGATTTTGTAATATGTTAGATATACATATACTACGATTTATACCACTGAGTTTCATATCATTTGGATAATAAACAATGAAGCCCCGATACAGTGTCACACTGGCGGGATGCCCGGCAATGTTCACACCCATTGTTAGTGGGTTAACTATCAACTTGTCACAATATATATCATAGAACACTGAAGTGCAATTAAGTCAAACTCTGCACAAGGCTGAACACTCACCTTTCATGAGCTGTTGGACTGTGGCTATTTCCTCCTGACATTTACGTTGTTCTACAGCAATGTCATTTTCAGCTGTACATTGTGCAATTGTGACTGCACTGCGAGCCTCCTCCAGTTCTTCCTGCAGCTCTCGCACCTGAGCACGTAGCACCTCTAGTTCCACCTCAACTGCTCTAGTATGATCAGACTGCAGTCTCAACTCCTCTGTTAAAATCAAGACAAATGGGCTTTCACTTTCTGCTATCTGATGTTACCTGCATCTTCAGGAGAAGAGAGATTAATAAAGGACTGTGAGCATGCTACTTTATGCACATACCAATTTTCTGCAAATTTCATTACTTCTATTATTAATGTGACTGAAAACAAAACCATTAGAAGTAAAAAAATAATGATCAATGCCATGATTAACCAAGTGTTGTGGTGATATACTGTTCAGCTTCCATCTCACACATTTCAAGATGACATGAGTGTTTTGCAATGTCTACTTCTTGTGGAAAACAGAACACAAGAGACCATTAACTAATGTGTTACCTTTTTCTGATTTTTTTTTCTCTATGCTGAACAAGTATATAGTGAATATTAGCAACAAGTACCATCAAACAGCCAGGTCACTGTGCATGGAAGTCACTGCTATCACACATTACAACATAAAGCAACAACTCTTCATGAGATATTCTAATACTGTAAATGTACATGGAACTGTCAGTGAGTCAAGGCAAACAATTATATCATGCCCAGTGCAACCCAGCAGAGACAAGCATTAGTCATCAATACTGCTGTAAGATAGTTAGTTCTCCTAATGATTAAAATAGTTGTTTTTCCTTTCTAATGGAAAAAAAATATTACATGCCCATATATTAATAAGACTGTATTAGTTCATGAAATTAAGCTGTATCACTTCATGAAATTAGATTGCATTAGCTCAACTTTCTAAAAATACTTATTAGTGAAGTTTCAAAGGAATAATTCATCATAAAGTCAAAAATTTATTAATAAATGTGTTGTATTTACTCCATTCAAACTACATACACACAACCATTTGGGTTTAGGTGAAGTGCTTGACAGCTGCTAAATTTTAAGTATTCATGCAGTTTGTCATATTCCTAAAATGTCATTACTTAAGTGATCATCACCACCACTATAGTGAATTTTCTCAAACTTGTGTCCTTATCATACTGTTGTAAATATAATAAAAAAAATTATGAAACCAATGTCAATCATTATCAAATATGGTATGTAACTATTTTTTACATTTTCTTTGACTGATGTTCATATCCTAGGGTTATTTCCTGACAACAGAAAAAATGTATAAAGGTTCCATCTATCAGGTGTAACATTCAAAACCTTAAATGAACTTTCAGAGCATATAGAGATCTTTAAATATCTATGTTTTAGAATAATTCATGTTAATTCCCTAACTTGGGCTATTCTGTTTTTATATTTGTTGTCCTCTCTTGTTTGACATTAAAACTAACACTCTGGACATAACCAATTCCTAAAGGAGGAGGTTAACCTTATTATTGCAATTCAAACAATGGAGAGAATGTAGCTGTGACATAAATTATATAATGAAAAACATCATCATGGCTAATCATGAACTCATATGTTTTTCTTACTCTTACTTTTTTACACTCATTTCATGAAAGCATTATTTATAATTTTTATAAAATGCCATCTGCCTGCCATTATTACTTCACCATAACTAAAAAAATGAACTCAAATCCACTTTTCCTACACTTTTCCAAGCACTCTTTTGCGAACTTGCACATGGGAAGGTAAGCTAAAACACCTAATTGTGCAATTATGGTGTTAAAGATTAAATATGTAAGTTTTTACATACATCCAAGTTCTTTTTGGCATGTCTTATTCCAATAACCATCTACATGATTATCTTAATTATATGTTTAGCCTTACCTTCTGGTAAAAGACCTTACTGTCTTTGCTTGCCATATATTTTTTCTTCCCTTTTTCTAACCCTTTAGGTGCACGCTCATCCCTCATTCATAACTTCTTATTTAGCAACCATGTTGAATCAAAATTCTCTTTGAATTCACTTCATTTATTTCAATATGCATCTCTCCACATACAAAGCTCTCTGAATCTATATGACGGTATTACTGCTAAAATTTTAACTCACCTTTAAACACGGGAATGCATGTGCCTTCATATCAACTATTTTGTCAGTCTAACTTTTCATCTAAAACAAGTTAATGTACTGCAATCCCATGGTTGTAGTGCATTTACATAAACATGATGATGCATATGTTAGAGATGAAAGTTTAAACTAACAAAGCATTTAACAA